GGAGTTTAATTTACGGTAGCAGGTGGGGTAGGGATAGAGATTWGAGTATTGAAATTTTATTCCTAAGRAGGGAARGCTTTTCACACTTTWACCATCTTGTCTTTCCAGTGCCAGTTGTAGAGTTCAAAAAACAAAGCGTCTCAATTAAAGAAGACGTTGGTCTGTTGAAAGTCGAGTTGATTCGCACTGGAGACCTCAGGTACTCTTCTCGCGTGAGGTGCTATACACGACAAGGTACCGCCAAAGCTGGCGAGGATTTCTCCGAAAGAACTAACACAGATCTCTACCTCGTAACGTTTAACCATGGGGACGCCACCAAGAATTGTGAAGTCATKGTTACTAACGACTTGGTGTATGAGGGTGAGGAACGATTCCGATTGGTTGTTGAATCGACCAATCACAATGCTCGTGTCGGAAGCAAGAACACTACGATTATTWCTATTGAMGATSMTGARGATGGTGAGTTACTCGMGTGACTGAATGTTTATAGCTAATAGTGGTTTTGYGCACCATCATGTGCCYATCGCATAATACTGCTTRGGCTGCCTGTGGTTAGATGGCAGAACAATAAAATCCCTTTGCGCTTGTGAAACTGAGTGGGACCCCATTACCACTTGCCACGTATCTGTTTTTTACCCAWTGATGGACCATCTTATAATAAATTAATTGGTCTCCATATAAGTGGATAMGTACATGAGTGTAAGAGTGCTTAACCTTATTTGTGGATATCCTCATATTTGACAGAACCACTCATCCAGCTAACAGAAGACCGCATATTTGTCGATGAGCCCGCGAGCAAGRGGCAGAATACCCACGTGACAGTTGCTGTGCAACGTACAGGAGATCTGAGCCAAAGGTCTCGCGTAAGGATCTTCACCGTTGACGGGACAGGAAAAGCTGGTCAAGATTATCAACCATTTACGAAGGTAAGGCAAGTTTGTAGGCATCAGGACGTGCAAGATTTTAATGATGTAGAAACTCACGGGTAGAGGGCAGCGGAAGTGCATTCACTTCTCACCTTTGGGGGCTCAATCAATAAGTTGTTCAATAGAAATGTTTTGTAATTTGAGCCTTCACTCACTTCATGATTTCTTTAACGTTTTGAACGCTCTGTATTTATCAGTCCCCCACCCCTCCCCCATTCCAAACCCTTCCCCCCAACACCACCAAGGTAGTGAAATTTATTTTGTACTTACAGGTTTTGTCGTTTTCTGGTAACGAAACGAGCCACGAAGAGCAAATARAAATACTGTTCAACAAAAACCGCCAAATGCGCCGTGCCTTCCACGTGTACATMTCGTCAGACCTGACACGGTCTAGCAGCCTGGGACGAAAGAAGACAATAGTATTCATCGACAAAACAGTCATGACGTCATCAGCTACCTTCCCTTTGATGCCCAAAGTCGTGTCGCTTCGTCATTATGATAAAGTTAATGGATTTGTTGAAGAGATCCCGCTTGGGTATCCTGTGGTTTGCGTAACGGTAAGARAGCTATATAGATGATCTCGCTATGAAGCAATGAATTTTCATTTAGTCATGTTAGCATTTTTGTTTTTCAGGCTTGTGACCCGAAATTCTCTCGCTACTCAGAGACAGGGTCGATGTGCGCATCACAGAACATCGACAACACGTTAACGCAATACCGTTGGCAGATCGCTAGGTCAACTGAGCATGCGTTTATGGATGTAACCGCTGACACTTTCTTCACCTACACTGACCAAGTCACCCTGGACAGTATATACTTGATACCGGGATCTCGCGTGCGATGCGTTGCTCGTGCGGTGACAGCAAATGGGGAGCCTGGGCTGGAATCTACGAGTGTGGCAGTTACTGCACAAACAAAGAAAGGGTTATGTCAATCACGTGATTCGAGTCACGTGGGATCTGAACCTTTTACAGCGAGTATTGCATTCASTGGCGCAAGGAATGATGGGAAAGACAACATGGTGCATATCAAGATACAAATCCCCCATACTGACGGGCTTATTCCTATCATATCGACACAAATGCCGGATATACGGGAAATGATTTCCCCCGGGGCTCTACGAGTTGCGCAGCATAAGTGYTCAAATGTCCTTGACAAGGATGAAATTACCACCTCCTTTGGTTTTCTTCATAACGGCATCAAAGATGCAGGGGTCATCACAGAAGCAGAACCTTACCAGTTTAGTTCACAACTGCGAGGGAACACCACGGTGCAATTTTACAAGAACCTCAACCTTGAGTCATGTGTTTGGAGTTTTGAAAGTTTTTTCGACATTTCTGAATTGATTCAGCTGTGTGGTGCAAGCCTAATCACTGGCCGTCAAGTAAAAGGCTTAACACAGTCACAGCTGTCTTTACGAGTTCCACTCTACGTGTCTTACGTTTACCGCTCACGAACATCRCACACCGATTGGCTGCACTACGACCATGCTATGTTCTTGCGCCTGACTTTGGTGTATGATACCGCTGTACTTCTTAAAGATGGTGTGCAGACTCCTGAAGGCTCGATCGTAAGCGGAAGTCTTTGGCCAACGAGCATTGGGATAAGAGAATCTGATAAAAATTTGGTAGTGAAATTTAAGACTAAAACAAAATTCCGAGGAACATTTTTACTACAGAAAGAAGGTGAGACGAATTTCCATGTTTCATAAAAAAATTAATTTAAAGTTGCTGTAATTTATGAGTTTTAATTTTTCAATCTTTTTTTGTAGATTTCACGGCCATGRTCATATCACGTGATCACCCCCAGCTGACCTTTACCCTCACACTTCTGTCGAGTCAGCAGTCATACGATAACCCTGTCCAGCGATGGCAGTTTACGTCAGACTACTCTGCAAAGGACTACACTGGGTCATACTACATTAAACTAATRCCATGCGTTGCTAGCATAGTAAGTGAAGTCATATTGGTTATTGTTCTGTGACGTATTAAAATCTAACCAATTATCGAGAGGCAAAGTAGTTTAGGTTAGTAAACATTTCCCTTTTCACAGGACACAGTTTACTCGAAGCCATTGGTCTGCAATCCCAAGGAACCAATCACTTTCAATCTACCAATCAGGTTCCAGCAGATTCCCGACCCAGTCCCTGCGCGCTTTACCCTCTCCGTCAACTTCGATCTGATGAGTGAGAAAAGCTTATGGCTGACCGGCAAAGTACTGAATGCCAGCGAGAGGGAACTGGATGCTGCTTTCTCTCGAGGTATATATATCTACTATACATATCTGAATGTTCGTTCAGTGGTGTCATAAAATAACTGTCTGTTATGTGATGCATCATGGGATATGTTGGGGGCTTCAGCTCAGTGGTGTCATAACTGTCTGTTATGTGATGCATCATGGGATATGTTGGGGGCTTCAGCTCAGTGGTGTCATAACTGTCTGTTATGTGATGCATCATGGGATTTATTGGGGGCTTTCCTAAATATAAAGACTTTCATGTTGATTGAATAAATATTTTTTTGTTCAAGACTCTAAGATCTATGGTCGTATCATGCTGGATCAAGGAAGAAGGAATAGTGGTGTGGAGTCTGGGTATCAAGTCTTCACAGAGAAGGTGTTCCTCTGCAGTAGTGAGGGGGAATACACACCTTCTTACGACCCGGTGAAAAAACAGTTTGGGTGCCTTGAAGACTCACATTATCTAGTACATCGTATTAAAGTCTTGGTACGTATATCTAGGTCTTAGTGACTTCCCATAATCCATTGCAGATACAAGGAAAAAACCTAAGTGAAGACTAGGTACGAGTCTGATCAATAGAGCGTTTTCATTACGCGACATGGCAGTCATATATTTGGTGTACCAAACAATAAAAACTTTCTGCACAGTTTTTGCATAAAAAATTTAATTCCCGGACATGGTCGCTTTGACGTCACTTGAAAACGCATTATCCTACAGATTACAGTATATTTCTCTCTTATTCCTACAGGACAGAGAGTCACCAAGCTCAGTGTCCAGTAAACTCGGTAAAGCAGCTTTTAACGCCAAATTTGTGTCAGACGATGCTGAAGCTATTGAACTAGCACAACGATCAGATGCAGATGGCTTCACATTGAATTCTGCTCCGCTCTTTGAGGTAAATATAAAATACTAGGAATTTCTCGTTAAAATGTTTTCTTTTATTGAAAAAAAAAATGTATTTGTATTTTTAGAATTTCCAACATTTTTTTAACGTTAGTCTGAATAAACTATTAGCCATTCTGAGATTAGGAGTAAGACTGGGTCGAGTCGGCACTGCAGTGCATTGTGGGGCTGTTACACGCCATCTTGGAAATATGTCTTCTAAAAAAGCTCCGCAATGCACTGCACTGCCAACTCGATCCAGTTTTCCATCCACCTCRGAATATGGCTAATAGTTCAGTGTTTTGGCCTCCGTTATTCAAACGGTCCAATTTGTATTCAAAACTCTCGAGAAAACGTCTCAGAAACAACTGAAGAATATTTCTTCCTTTCCACCTTATTTATTGATAATTATTGATTTTCAAGGTCCCACGACCACAGAAGTGGTTCATGCACGCGGTGTATTCAGTCAGCTCTCATCCTCGCAAGAAACAAAGAATCCCACGTGATACTCTTGATTCCCCGCTTACTTATCACGTGATTGATCAAACGGATTTCGATCTCCATGGTTCTGAGCCTGCGCAACACGTTGGTAGTAGTCATCAGTCATATAGAAAAGGTATGCGCGTGCGCAGGCAAGAGAGCGATGGTGCCTCGTTAGGAGTTGGAACAGGAACAAATATGAAGATGATACGATTGATTTACGAATCGATGGACGAAACGAAGTCGACGGGCCGCCTGGCCAAAACGAACGATTCTTTGAATAAAGACAATCAGGGTCTTGTGAACCCGCTGGTTATTGGTATCGCGGTAGTATGCGTGGTTCTTCTCGTCGCTCTTGTGGTTGTATGGACGTTATACAAGCGAAAGAACCGACGGGAACTGCCTGTTGAAACRAACACAGATAGCGTGAGTACACCACAAAGTAAAGGTACCTTGGTATAGATCTATGGATGTTACTATGACGACTGTCAATTTTGTATAAAATATCGTAACCTCATTTATCTTTAAAGAGTTAAGACCTTTTGAGATTGGGCCCCCTGTGGTAGGAGAATAACTGGCACAGGAAGCCCAACCAAAGTAAATCATATAATACAAAAGATACCTTTAATGGAGCTCAATGTTGTCATGACGATTATGTATGTTAAATAAAACAACTTAGGTAGATCAAAGCTGCATTTGATGAATAAAAACATACTCAAGATAATAGAAGTATAGGCGAAATGCTTCGGTGGAAAATTACTGGTCAAAAAACTGAAAACATTTTTTCCTTCGTCGTTGGAGATAAAAGTGGGTTTGAGCTCTGAACTAGGCTGCCCCGCCYTCAATCCCAGAGCCTTATCATTTTACTGCGCATGTTCAAAGAAATGTTGCTTTGTTGAGCATGCGCAGTAGGGSTCGAGAGTGAGGCTGCCCAATAAGAAGGCAAAGTGCACATGCGCATTTTTCGTATGCATCATTATAGAGTCCAATATAGAAATAACKTAACGGCTCTGGAGGGAGATTGTATAGTTCCTTACCTGGACGTGAATATAGAGAATGAAAGCTGAATGTCATCTTCTTTCTCGCTTGGGTTTGTAAGCCAGAGTTTTGATGATATCAGTTTTGTACATGTTCCATGCTTGTTGACTTTGAATTTGGTGCCGGGCTTGCTCTACTGAGATGTACTCTTCTCGCTATGAAAACAATATCAATGAAAATCATCAAAATTTGCTGGATTACGCATGAACTTGAATAAGTGCCCAAAGTGTGCAACCTTGAGAAATAGTTTGTCCACTTAAATTTAACTGCAACATTATGATATTGTGCCTTTATTTCCCTCCATCCAATACATGTAAACTTACGTACCAATGCTTTTAGCTGGACGAGAGTCGTAATGCTAGCGTTCAGAAGAAAGAACCTTTTGTTAATCATCACGCATTCAGCTCCTTCGCTTATCTGGAATGAGAAAGGAAAAAAATGAAAAAAACTGCATCTGCGCGTGCTCGGGCTATCTGCAGCGACATTGAATGCGGAACCCCATATCAAGCCATATTATGCTATAATCAGTGCTTTGTTGATTTAGAATTTAAAAATGGGAAGCCTGCGGCAACATTGAGTGCCAGCCGCATATAGCGCTGTTTTGATGCCATAATAATCGTTCAAACACATGAACAAAACACATTTACTCAGAATACCATTATAACTGGACTATTCTACATACCAGTATAATATTTTTTGCCGAAGGATCAGCTTTTTCTTGGATAATCTATAACGAAAACAAATTCGATTGCATTTAAAAACGTTTTTGCTTCGCGCGCGCAACTTCATTCCCTCTCTCCTCTCTTTCGTTCTATACTTCGTTTGCGCGTTACGTCACCGCAGCCATTGATGGTATTTAACAATATATTTCTCAGCTTCTATTGTTAATATCACCAAAATCACCGCTCTTGGGAATGCTTGCAGACCATAAGTTGAATGTATCCTTACCTCAGAACTTATTTTGTTTGCAACTTTGGGCATCATTGACTCCAGACCCTGGAATAAAATCAGAGAGTAGATAAGTGTTAAGCTATAGACTGGCAAATCATGGTTGATGGCTTTCACATCTTCCATAGAGCAATTCGGGCTTGCTATGCAACACGACATACAACATGCAACGAAACCTTMAATTTTTTTCGAAATAGCTATACTTACAAACAAATCTCCAGGTTTGAGGACAGCGATCTGTAACAACGCTCTTCTTGTCGGTGTAACATTCATCGGATCTGAACATTTAGTCATTTTAGTCTTGTCATTTTCCGCTGCTCGTCTAATAAGATCCAATTCTGAAGTTCTCTTGAAGAGATCTGTCTCACATGCTGGCCCGAGTAGCTGCGTGTAGTAATCGTCTGGATTTCTGTGTATTTTCTGTTCGTCGTTTTCTGTAATTATTCCATCCTCGTCTACTCTTGGTTGSGATTTGCTTCGTTTTTCTGAAAAAATAATAGCAATCAAATAGTGCGAGATTTTCAAAATGAACGAAATCATTTTTGTATTGGTAGACTGAATGTAGCTGTAGTAGTGAACTCGCCTCTCACCTCTGGTTTCTTAGATTCGATTCCTAGACTCAGCATCATACATGTGAGTAGAGTTTGTATAGGTCTCTATCCCTTGATTCTAGGGTTTTTCTCCAGGTTCTCCGGTTTTCCTCCCCCCGAAAAATCTAACATGCTAATTTCAAATTGTAACTGAGTTAGCCGTGCCCTACGATCTGTGAGTAAGCCATGCCTTGTCTTTGATCAGCCCAGAGATTGTATCAGGGTTCGATTTATAAGTTAGCCGTGTCCTGTCTTTGACTGGATCAGCCCATAGGGTATCCGATAAGATTTGAAGGTAAACCATGTCCCTTATGTTGGAATTACGCAAGAAATACAAGATTGAATGAAGCCAAATAAAAATACTTACTGCGTTGTCGCATCTTCGCTTTTTCGAGAATAGCATCCTTGGATCCAGATATGGTTTTTGTCAGCTAAAGAAACGACGAAGAAACTTTAATRTTAATCATCAGAATTATTTGCAAATATCTGTTGAAATGAACCGTACTAACCTCTAAGAGGCTTGTTGGATTCTTTCCTGGAGATGTCCCTGTATTGCATGGTCGTAAAATGAAAAAGAATAAACCAGGTGAGATGGGGAATTTGAAGGCGATTATTTAGAGCACCGTTAGAGTTGGTCTCCTACACAGCCGCTATTGGTGTCGTCACACAACGCTCACTTCCTTAGGGGAGTGAGCGTTGCGTGACGACACTAATAGCGGCTGCTTAGGAGACTACGTTAGAGTACGGGTCGAACAATTTGTTTGTTTTGCGCTAATAATAGTCTATTACTGGGTTTCACTTGACGTCATTTCCTGTCTCGTGCGGAATGTTCATCAGCTGAATCACAGGTKTTCAATATAATTCTTTYTGGYTGACAGCAMATGGTGGTCAGTGTTTGAGCACCATTTGGAGCAAATAATGAGATTCAAAGATTTTCATCAGCTGAGTCACTTTCGCAACTCATGCTATCTCGACGAGCGCGTAGTAATGAAAACAATGATAATAATGATGTGCTGTGACCAATCATCTTGGGAGTTTTAGGGTAAACTTGACTTACGTGACGGTGGTTTGATGACTTTTATTATGCTCGGTAACTTGGAGGATTTCGTTACATCTAATACTTCTTGCTGTCGGACCACTTTACAACGACCCTGTTCAATCAACAATAATCATATCAATCTTAATCACCATCATCATCAATCCCATCAACGACACCAGCATCATGCATCATGCATCATCACATGATCAACCTCATCATTAAAATATCAACATCATCATCATCCACATTACCATGTATCATCATCATATAAAAAACATAAAAAARTACACTCGTATTTTAGGAATCACTTACTGATTTTATAATGTAAAAATAAGGGCTTTCACTGCTGTCCTTCACAATTACAGAATCTCGCCTGAAGAAAAAGAAAACGAACCGTTTGTAGCAATAACACTTTGTATGTGGAGGGYTTGCGCAACGCACTTGACGGGCAGTACATCACGTGACGCAGATAACTACTTACGCGAAGTATTTTGTTGTTATGGAATCTTTGTCTTCCTTGAATTTTTCTACAGGAAAAGATCGAAACAACTCGATAGATCTGTAAATTAAAAAGAAAAAGTGTAATTTAAATTAAAGAATATATATTTTTGATCTCTAAACAGATGAGCAACAGACAGTTTATAAAAATTCGTTCACTACTTTCACAAGATCAGGACTCATTTCTAAGTTGTACTGTATTTGATTTCCAAAATCAACCCTTCCCTCCCAACCCTCTCCTAAGCCCTCCCCCCCCCCCCCCCCCCCCCCCCCCCCCCCCCCAGAGAATTCATTTTTACCTCGTCTGACGATAACTTACCTCAAGAAGTCTATAGGAAGACCCTGGTCTGGATTGGTGGTCATGAGATCAACAAAATCCTGGAATTTATTATTAGACGTTATCAATGACTATTGATAATAGTTTACTAATAATTYAGGTCAAGGTAATTACCTCTCTGTCAAGGACTAAGACTTCTACAGATCCTTTACACGTCAACGAGTAATTCCTTAAGGTGCCTTCATATAACTCGTGAGGCTGGGGGAGAAAATAAATGTTGATCAGYTTCAAATGGTATCACGTGGCATGGTAATACTGTGATACTGAATACTACTWGTCTGTGGATTTTTGATGATGACTCTGTAATTTGTATATAGCGAGAGGAAAGTGGCTGGTGATGATGGTGATGATGACGATGATTGTGATGATAATGATGGTGGTGATTGTGACGGTGATGGTGATAGTGATGATGGTGGTGATGATGATGGTGGTGATGATGATGGTGGTGATAGTGATGATGGTGGTGATAGTGATGATGGTGATAGTGATGATGGTGGTGATGATGATGGTGGTGATAGTGATGATGGTGGTGATGATGATGGCGGTGGTGATGTTGATAATGATGGTGATGATGTGGTGGTGAAGAAGTTGTTGTTGTTGTTGTTGATTATGATGATGATGATGAAGATGATGTTAAGATAGAAGAGAGTCACCTATGGATCTAGCCTTCAATACACCGATTAATAACAGCATATACCTTAGAATACCTTTAATATAACCATGTTTATATAATATGGGTGCAATATTTATACTTACATCTGTGGTGGTTCCTTGCATCAGTTCACCATACGACATCTTCGTTACTCCGGCTGCCAATTCGTASGTGCATATCTTACTGACTAAGACACGAGAAAGAACAAAACAAACCCTTAATGCGCAAACGCAAAAGAACTACTCTTTAAAACATGAAAAAACGTAGCTTGGAAAGAGGAATACTAAAAACAAAAGTAAAAAAATGCATATCTTTTTCCTCCATCTGATGATCCTGGAACGAGTGCGAGTCCAGACTTCTCTCGGTACTAATGTCACAGGGTTCCCAATGACATCTATAAGGTGGCGTTACACTCTGATTTAGTGAGGGATCGAGAATGGGATGTTACCATGCTAACTGACCCAACATAACGAGGAGAACCTAACCCCCCCCCCCCCCCCCAAGACTATTTTTGTCAAAAGTATCTAGTGAGTATATAGACTTACTTCTTCCAGACAGCACGTAGTAGAACCGTTCTGGTGGACGCCCTTGACATGCGATGACTCTACCGTTATCATACCTGCGCATTCGTGCAACACAATAGTCACGTGAAAAAGTGTTAGTAAAAGGGACTGATAAGAGTAAGGATTTCTGCAGCTTTACGTCAGTACCTTTCGTATCCTACATTGCGTGCCAGATCCATTTCACGTTCTAGAGGGAAAATCATAAAGGCTCGAGTACTGCGGCATAGCCTTTGAACCTAAACRAACAAAGAAAAACCTCATGAGAAAAATCTGATTTTTCCCTGTCCATCTATCGATTTCTTCSATTTTTCATTCAATCGTACCTTCTTGAGCTGTTCCGTGGATCGTAYTCTTGGAACTGACGTTAAAATTTCTCTCAGTTCTTCGGAAATCTTAAATTAGAGAGAAAAGGAAAAAAAAAAAATGGAATTTGGGTCACCTTTGTCATCACATCCCATCCCATCCAAACACCAAATGGGATACCTGTGGAATAAAATTTGGTCGAACATGGTTACAACAAGAATCA